TGTGTGCAATTAAGTATTTTCTAGCTTGTAATAACAGTGGTAATATTTAGAATGGAAGGGTGAGCTGAGATCGAAAGCAAGAAGTTAAAGAAATGGGAAAAACAAATACACAGACTGGAAGGAGAAAACAGAACAATGTATCAGATAAGAAGGTTTCAAAGGTATAAACTGGGAGCTTTAGTGTACTAATTGACAGTAAGCTGAACAGGCATTAGATGGACAGAGAGATAATTGAAAATCAAAAATAAAAAAAATAAAGATAAGAATAAAAAGAAATAAGTAAATGATAGAAAAATCTATATATAAAAATGTATTAAAATAAAATGAAAAAATAGAAAATTAATAAAACCTCGAAAAACCAAAAAAAACCAAAAAACCTCCAAGTTCAAATGCAATGAAGTTTCAATCTTAATAGTTTGAGTGTCCGTGTCAGTCTCCAATCCTGGAGATGGTGCCTCAGATGTTGTTCTTTAGTTGTGTCATCAAAGGAGAAACAAACTACACAAACACGTACAAAAAAAACCTCACCAAGTGTCCCAAGTTCAAATGCAATACAGTTTCAGTAAGTTTTTCAGCTTGTCGGTGTAATTCGGTTGTTCTCTCATCAAAGGTAGGGAGACAAAGGAAAAAAAGAGTCTGGAGACAGTTCTGAGAATGGTATCTGCAGCTGTGGCCTGCCTGCTCGCTGCTGTCAGCTTGCTGTTGCTGGAGGTGTTATTTATGCAGATCTCAGGGGTGAGCTTAGCACTCACCTGGCCCTGCAGGTTGTGTTTACTCAGATTTCTCCTGTGCGTGAGCCTCTGCTACAAGCATTCCCCTTTCCAAGCACCTGGGAAAAGTGACACTGCACCCACGTTGTCAGGCCTGAGTGTTTATTTACAGTTCATGTGGGAGGTTGGTCTTCCCCCCTCTTATGTGCAGTTTTCCTCCCACTGCCACTTTCACAAACTTTCCTGCCCCTGATTACTGGTTGGTGCTGCTGCTCCTGCCAGCTGCTATGTTTGTTTACAGTTCCCGTGGGAAGTGGGTCTTCCCTCCTCTCCTGTGGAGTTTTCCTCCCTCCGCCACTGTCACCAGCTTTCCCGCTCGTGGTTGCTGGGCAGCGCCCCCGCTCCCGCCAGAGGCTCTCTGGCCAGGCTGGCTTGTTTATTTACAGTCACGGGAAGGGTTCCCTTCCCCAAATCTTCGGCGCTCAGTGCACCCCACCCTCTTTCCCTTGTGTCTTTATTGCTCTTATTGCTTATTACTCAGTTTCTCTTTTTTTCCCGGGTGGACGTTTGTCTGTCCAGGGGGCTATGCTGCTCTGGCCCAGGCTTGTTTGTGGGAGTACTGCGTACCGTGAAGCTCACCTGGTCCGCGTCTTCCCATGTCATGTGGGCGCCAGCCACTGGCGGCCCCGGGGCCCTCCTGGTTTCTCCATTTAATGTGAAGTGGAGATTCTCTGCCCTTCCTGGAGGTGTGGATGGGTCAAAGTTATGATTCTTCTCAGTGATTATGCCTGCAAAATGTGTCTCCAGCATCTCTCCAAGATTTCACTACAGGAAGCTTGCTTTCTGCTTCTTCCCTCTAGCCGCCATCTTGGAATCCTCCTCCATTTTTTTTTTTTTTAATTCAGCTGAAGCACAACTTTTAAGAGCATGTAATTTGGTTAGACCCAAGTGTGATATCTCTTTATTTAATGGATAACCTCTTTATTTAAAGGTTATCTGATTAGTAACCTTATTTCTCCCTTTGCTGTAGGAGGTAATATACTCATATCTCCTGGGGACAGGTAGGGATTATTACTGTCCCCATGTGTGTACCAGTAGGCCCACATGCCTAGTGCTTGGATTTCTTCTTGTCCATGCCATTATATATATGGTTTTTCAAGGTCAAGCCATTATCTACCTGTTTGGTTTTATTTTTTGATAATCTGTTAATGTTTTATTTTTTAATTGTGCTGGCTGGGGTTACATTGGAGTATTTACAAAAGTGTTATTTCTCCTGCTTCGAAACCTGTCCTCCTTTCTATGACCTTAACCTTCAGTACTCATGGCAAACATCAGCTGCTTTGAAGTCCCCAGAGAGATATTGTACTTTCTGTTCCCTTAGTATCATGATTATAGCACTTACTATATTATGGAAATAATTCTGTTCAACATTTGTTTCAACCACCAGTCTGTGATCCCTTCAAGGGCAGAGAACATATTTTATTTCTTTCTGTATTTCTAATACCCAGTACAGGAGCAAGCACACCGTAAGACTTTAGAAAAGGCTCAATGACTTTGTTAATGAATATTTGAGGTTAGTAGTAATGAAGCATCACCCTTTGAGTAGCAGTCAATCAAGTCCTAAAGTGCAGTGTAGGACAGGACTCCACATTCATCATCCTTGGTTTAGTATGGATAAATACTGTTCTGAAATCAGAATTGATGTTTCAAGCAAAGTTTGAGACAGGCTCAGTATTGCTGCAAAGACTTTATCATCTTGTGTCTTTCTACATTGGTAAAGTAAGGGCACAACTCTAGGTACCAGGGCATCTAGATGCTACTTCTAAGTGTCCTTAACCTCTCTCTATATGTCCTATATGTATATCAACTGAAGGGGATTTACTTTCATTCTAAACCTTTAGGATGGTTAGCACTTTATAGAGTGCTTAATCTATCCCAGTGCTGGGTCAAATAGGAAATAGTTCTGTCCTGAAGTAATTTTTATTAGGAAAGCTGCCTCTGTAGTCTGGTGGGTTTATTCCAGTTGTGACAATCTGTGATGCATTTGTCTTTTTCTTTCTAAATGTACATCAAAGAAGAGAGGTAATAACCTTAAACAAAACAAAGGGTGGAGGGCCATTCTATTGGAAACATACTTGAGTGTGCTGAGATAGTGTGGTCTCAATTGCTCATTGAGGTGACTGGCTATGTTTGTTTCTTGAAACCAACAAGATGTCAGAAAGCACTTTACATTCTTTTAATTTAATCCTGTGTCTCTAGAAGCAATAACTGCATTTCAGAGCCTAAACTGCTTTTGAAAAATTGAAGGATGTTTGAACATTGTAATTCCAGAGAATTGCTCTTACTTTTCCTTTCTCCTTGTCTCCCTTTGCTCTCTATAAAAACTCTATTACCTCTTCCTTTCTTCTTTTCCCCTACATTGAGACTCCTTCTAGGTAAGATATTTAGTTTTCCTTAAAGCAATTAGAAGAGTTTGATATTTCTTGTTATAGAATTTTAAAAGGTGGATTAATTGAACACCTAGCACACTATTTTTTGCTATCTTAAAGCAAAATTTTCCAATACAAATGTCATAGTGATCTGTCATTTCTATTCTAGAGAAGAAACATTTATAGAGTGCTCATTCATCTATGAATGAAGTTTATAGTTAAACCATGTAATACCTGACAGCACTATGCTGAGAGGCACAGAACAAAGAATGTAGGCTTTGTTGCTTGAGGATTGATCATTTATAGATTAGTTGATAATCTTTTTCAGGTTGTTTCTTACACCGATGAGAAAATTTTCACTTTTGTGGAAAGCTATGGATTTCAATAAACCTCTGTCAAGACTGCACACCTGCATACTCAATATCACTTTTTAACTTCAACATCTTTCTAGAAGAAATGAAGTGATATTTGTGTCCCCATCCTTAAAAATAATAGTGGGAGAAATAGTAGGCATTGGAGTAAAACACTTGAAAGGATGGACTTGTGAAGGTCAACTTCTTAATACAATAAGGTGTCAGCCTTGCGAATTGTTGAGAAAACAGGGAAACTTTTTATGCATGTTTAATTTGTGTTTTAATACTACTTTTTTAATAAGTACTTTCATCAGTTTTATTTTTATGTTTAAATATTGCATTGTTTCTTTGGTTATCAAGAGTCTTAGTCTGCTCTCCCTACACCCGTTCCACCATTCAGTGTATTTATGATCAGGTTAAATGTACATGAACATGGTAACAACATAAGATTTAAAAATTTGCAAGTCCAAACTACTGTTGTATGATATTTTATGATACTGAATTATAGCATTTACTACCTTTCCAATTTTATTATTGTCAAGAAATTAATTCCCACAATGAATTAAAGGATTGCAGTACAAAGCGATTTGGCATAATGCCTCTTTTTCATAAATGTGGAAAAACCATAGATATAAACAGTGTATATTGAGTGATTGTTCCCTTAATCACCCATCTCCCCTCCTCCTTGGTTATAAGCAATATTTTACGGCTTCATTATGCTATCTCGGTATGTATATATAATTTACTTTAAGCCTCTTTATCCCCATTTCCCTTCCTTCCCTTTGGCTAATCTGTCTCCCAGCTGACAGTGCCACTTTTGTACGTAAGTCCCATTATTACTGTTATTTTTATCATTTTAGACCTAGACACTGCACATGAGTGAAATCATATGATATTTGGCTTTTTGA